CCCCTCCCTCTCTCCTCCTCTCTCTCTCCCCCCCCTCTCCTCTCTCTCTCACACACACACACACACACACACACACACACACACACACACACTACCCTGCCCTCAATAACTTGCCCCTTTTGTTCGGATAACGGATACTTTAAGTGAGGGAGGGATAGCCGATCCTTTAAGAATAACATTATAAAAAGTTTTACTTTTTACGAACGTATGTTCAACAAACTGGGTTAAGTCTCCTTTTAATGACTTTTCGTCACACATGTTGCACTGATGGGTATCAACCTACTTATGCAAGTGTAAACTTCTATATATGACAATGCAGACGAACAATCCATGGGCTTTCCATATAAGATAAAACAATGCTAACATATCACTGTTGTTAAGATTTACTTAATTTTTGTAATGTTAAAAAAGACAAAAAGTCCTCTCGCACATTTACTAATAGAGCAAAAATTGCACTTGTATGTACCCAATGGGAACGTTAACTTTCTTTGAAAATACCGAATATTTTATATACTATAGATATCTGAGTGAGGGGGGGGGGCGCTTAGAGTGGGAGAGAGAGATTTTATCAGCTTTAACCCGGCTGTGATTTCATTGTGTCTCTGGTATTGTCTGAGACATTGTCTCACGCAGAATAGGAAAACAAATACGACTAGGGTATTTATCCCGACACTGTATCTCATTTGTCAATATATGGTCGAAGGTAGACGTTAAGTAATGGTGGCATGGGCCCTATAGTCCTAGTGGGTTTGAGGTTAACAAGCTGAAAAGATTTCGGAGAATTTTAGGACGTCTATTCCCATATTTACAAACGAACACTTTCAGTTAACCCTAGACTTGGGTTCATTAGCTTATGAACCGAGAATAATGTTTTTTACGCTTGAAGATCGCCATGAAAGCTATATATGTATTTTTCCAAATCATCGGTGTTGGTTTACATTTGTTTAAAATGAAACAACTTCAGTGAAAACAGAAGGTGAACTGAACACTTCTTCCCCGGTCAAGTGAAGATTTCATATAGTTTTTTACACTGGTTACTGCAGTCGTGAGAAGCAAGGGGAATTTACCTGGCTACATTTTAAAATGATGTTAAAGGATGTTTTCACAGAAAAATAAGCCAAGTAAAATGAAGTCGAAATTTAGTACTTCTTTGCATTGTTTTCTAATGCTAGTGCACAGAATAATTTTTATAGTTTCAAATCTTGTATACTGTAGGTGCCATTTTTCATTCATATCTAAATTTCATTTTTCATTCATATCTAAATTTCATTGGAACATGGCAGCTTATTACCCTAGGTTCTAGATTCCAGTTTTGCCGGCTCGATCTTGATTTCATATATATATAATAACCTATATCAGCAAAACTGGTGTTGAAGCCCGTTTCACAGTGACTCTGACAGTCAGGGTACAGCTTATAAGTTTATTGAAATACACCATTTTGTCTTCAACTGTTTTCATTCAACAATGTAAATCCATCACATATATTTTTAATAATTTGTACTATATATCTATTATCTTAATGTTTTAGGTGTTTATATATTTACTTTATCTGACGTCATCTATTTTATTTAGTTAATTTACCCTTGTTAAGTCTACTGAATATTTTAAGTGGATCTAATTAGATTTTGAAAAAAAAAATTCATCAAAATTGACAGGTCTATAGCCTGGAGGTTCGGGGGTTCGGAAGAACCGCCCTTATTGTCGGGAAAAATGTCCATTCTGCGTAAAATTCGATCTAGGTGCACAAAGGTTTCATTGTGAAAGGCCCAATTTTTCAGAAAAAAAGTACCCCCTTTTGAAATAGCCGGCTACGGGCCTGATAGGGACAGCCATATGGCCTTGCACCGTATGTAGACTGAAATTATAGTACTGGGGAATTTTCAATGTGGATAGTGAATAAGTAGGCCTATACCTTTAAAGTGATGCACTTTCCGTCAGGAGGTGAAAAGTAGTGCACATTTTTTAATTTTTCAGAAATAAGTGCTAGGCCTGGTAAAGGCTGTGTTTGCTTTTACCAAAATTGCTGCGTATCTGTGTTAAGTTATTGTAAAGCAAGTTTTAAGACTGAAGACTGCAAGTCAACAGTTTTTATATTATTTTACATACTTTCAGTGCATTTCTTATATGGAAATAATTCCTTGGTTTATCTGTCTTTATCTTTGGAATCATCTTTCACGCACATTTCAGCTGTATCTGACTACACACCTTTTGCAAGTGAAGAAACATCATACCCATATTTGGCAAGCAGCTCAATGCCAGCATATGCGGAGTCAGTAGATGATTCAGCGCCGGAATATTCCTTCCAAAGCAATTTGATGCCGGCATATTCGGAGTCAGTAGATGATTCAGCGCCTTACTACTCCTTCCAAAGCAGTTTGATGCCGGCATATTCGGAGTCTGTAGATGATTCAGCGCCTCAGTACGCCTTCCAAAGCAGTTTGGAGCCATCATATTCGGAGTCTGTAGATAATACAGCGTCGAACATGCATTACTCCTTCCCAAGCAGTTCCATACCAGCATACTCGGAGTCTGCAGCTTATTCAGCACCTTACTCCTACATCCAAAGTAGCTCGATGGAAGCATATCCGTCGTCTTCAGGTTATTCAGCGCCGTCCTCCTCCATTGCCAGTAGCTACATCCAAGCATATCCATCGTCCTTCTCCATTTTCAGCAGCTACGTGCAAGGATATCCATCTTCCTCCTTCATTTCCAGCAGCTTCATGCAAGGATATCAATCGTCCTCCTCCATTTCCAGCAGCTACATTCAAGCATATCCATCGTCCTCCTCCATTTCCAGCAGCTACATGCAAGCATATCCAGCGTCGTCCTCCATTTCCAGCAGCTCAATGGCAGCACAGTCGTCGTCTGCGACATATCCAGCGGCGTCCTCCTTCATTCCTAGCAGCTCGATGGCAGCACAGTCGTCGTCTGCGACATATCCAGCGTCGTCCTCCTTCATTCCTAGCAGCTCGATGGCAGCACAGTCGTCGTCTGCGATATATTCAGCGGCGTCTTCCTTCATTCCTAGCAGCTCGATGACAGCACAGTCGTCGTCTGCGATATATTCAACGGCGTCCTCCTTCATTCCTAGCAGCTCGATGACAGCACAGTCGTCGTCTGCGATATATTCAACGGCGTCCTCCTTCATTCCTAGCAGCTCGATGACAGCACAGTCGTCGTCTGCGACATATTCAGCGTCGTCCTCTTTCATTCCTAGCAGCTCGATGACAGCACAGTCGTCGTCTGCGATATATTCAGCGGCGTCCTCCTTCATTCCTAGCAGCTCGATGGCAGCACAGTCGTCGTCTGCGACATATTCAGCGTCGTCCTCCTTCATTCCTAGCAGCTCGATGACAGCACAGTCGTCGTCTGCGATATATTCAGCGTCGTCCTCCTTCATTCCTAGCAGCTCGATGACAGCACAGTCGTCGTCTGCGATATATTCAGCGTCGTCCTCCTTCATTCCTAGCAGCTCGATGACAGCACAGTCGTCGTCTGCGATATATTCAGCGTCGTCCTCCTTCATTCCTAGCAGCTCGATGACAGCACAGTCGTCGTCTGCGATATATTCAGCGTCGTCCTCCTTCATTCCTAGCAGCTCGATGACAGCACAGTCGTCGTCTGCGATATATTCAGCGTCGTCCTCCTTCATTCCTAGCAGCTCGATGACAGCACAGTCGTCGTCTGCGATATATTCAGCGTCGTCCTCCTTCATTCCTAGCAGCTCGATGACAGCACAGTCGTCGTCTGCGATATATTCAGCGTCGTCCTCCTTCATTCCTAGCAGCTCGATGACAGCACAGTCGTCGTCTGCGATATATTCAGCGTCGTCCTCCTTCATTCCTAGCAGCTCGATGACAGCACAGTCGTCGTCTGCGATATATTCAGCGTCGTCCTCCTTCATTCCTAGCAGCTCGATGACAGCACAGTCGTCGTCTGCGATATATTCAGCGTCGTCCTCCTTCATTCCTAGCAGCTCGATGACAGCACAGTCGTCGTCTGCGATATATTCAGCGTCGTCCTCCTTCATTCCTAGCAGCTCGATGACAGCACAGTCGTCGTCTGCGACATATCCAGCGTCGTCCTCCTTCATTCCCAGCAGCTCGATGGCAGCACAGTCGTCGTCTGCGATATATTCAGCGGCGTCCTCCTTCATTCCTAGCAGCTTGACGTCATCATACTCGGCGCCTGCGAGCAGTTCAGCTGCACACTACTCTTTGTCAGGCAGTTCGACATCTTCATATTCGATGTCGTCAAGCAGTGTGACAGCAGTGGCCAGGACTTCGTCTGGAGCAAATCTGGCATCATCATCCTCAAGCATTGCAGCGCAAAGCTCTACCACACCGGCCTCTTCTAGTTCGCTTTTCAGTTCCTCATCCGTGGTTGAGACGACCACTGCGACTGTCTCAGCTGCCTCATCGCCAGAGAACCAATGGTGGAACGACGCACGGCTATACCCCTTTGGTGAGAACGCTGGAGACAGCACTACAGAAGAGGAGTTGCCGGGCCAGCTTTCGTGGTCTTGGTGGAGTTGGTGGTACTATGACTATGTCTGTCTCAGGGTTAACCTACTTAAGGCAGGGTTTCCCTTCTTTAACGGGAGGCACTACAAGATTCATGTAAGTTAAAATGTTTTAAAAATTAATGAGATCTTTATTCATATAAGTTCAAGTGAACCTGACACCCCTTTTTACTCCCGCTTTTACTAAGTGAATCAAGTTTTTGAATACACATATTTCAGACCAAAATGGTACACAGATTATTTATGTGACTCATCAATATATGTATTTTGTAAATGAATTATTATTATCATCATTAATAGTATTAAAGAAACATGACATTACTCAATCCATGAGCCCCGTTTGTTTTCTTCAGATTTGCAACAATGGCGTCCTACAGTTCAACTATGGATGGAAATTCAGCTGGCCGTGGACGTTTGGCACACGTTACTGGATGGACCGCTATGCTCTGATTGCACCGTTTTGGGGCCGCAGTGACGCCACTTTATTTACACGGTGGAATGTGAATAGGAACAAGACGGTAACTGCATTATTATTATTATTATTATTATTATTATTATTATTATTATTATTATTGTTGTTGTTGTTGTTGTTGTTGTTGTAATTACTCCCCGTCGCTATTGAATTGTTTGGGCGATGAGCCTCCCGTAAACAGTTGCTGTCTACGCCACCATATGCCTTAATTTAATAAGACGGATGTACATAATACCCGTCTCGTAAAGTGTTGAGATATACATGTAGTTCTGTCCGTTTCAGCTTGTGTATTATCACGTGTATGAGATGAATGACGAGAAGGCTGGAACAGAAGCCATCATTGATCGAGCTTTGTCCGATATTGAAAATTCAAACCAAAACCCGTCGCCAGGAGGTAATTAGGTTATATACAGAATTAGTAAAAACGAAGACTGTTATTTCTTTTAATTAATGATAATTGTGAAATTTTTTCATGTTATGTCAAGTAAACGTAGTGATAAGAAAGAGATAGTATCCATTTACTTTTTTAATGCTGATATTCTTTTTTCTCTGGTAGATCGTATCAGTAAATGGCTTTGTCTTCACTGTGAAATTACTCTTTGATATGTTTGCAAGAATCTTCCCAGCAAACACAGAACGTAACCATAACGCAACCATAACGTTTATTGGTTATATAAACGTTATGGTAACTTTGTAATAACGTTCTGTGTTTGCTGAGTTAATCCTTCCAAAGATTCCAAGTCTTAAAGAAATTGTCAATCAAACAAACACACAAAAATACAATGACACACATAATTCATCAGCTGACGTCATCTACACTCGTTTTCCTTGTTCCAGAATTCACCCCCACCTGGGTAATGGTGGTCACGTGGACCAACCTCCCGCCTTACGTGAGCTACTGCGCCTACTGGAACTGGTACTACTACTATTATTATTATTACTGGAATTATAATAACCCGTGCAGTGACAGGGTACAGAATATGCAGGTAAGAAAATGATAATATCTTATCCAGTGGTGCAGTTCATTTGTGACGCCTTTACATATAGCACATTTAGACCGTCTTATTGTGCTTTGTAATCACTCCCACTGCGCTGAGCAGCATAGCACTTGCCTTGACTTGGTTACCATGGTGATGGGCGGGAAACAGTGTGATAAGATTGGCACCCTATGGTGATTTTATAGTAATAACACGGTATGCTGAGGTATTACAAACATCTGGACCTAAAATGTGCCAAGAGCTAATAAAATGATTGCGTTTTCAAAATTTATTGATTATTTTTAATACATACATTTCACAGGGCATTTTTCGCACTGCAAAATATTGAATATAGCAGGCCCGAAGCCAGCAATTTCCAAAAAGGTGGATCTTAAACCATGAAACCTTCATGTACCTACGTGTATATCAGTTTTTACCTAGAGCGAACATGTACAGGGGCGGTTCATTTGAACACCGCGAAACTCCCTGGCTACGAGATTGTTAGAATATATATATGCCGTAGAACTTCAGCGCATGTCTGTAACTGGATGGCATATAATAATGTCACTGGGTCCCGTAAAGTAGACAACATAACACTTTTAAATTTTTATTTTCTTTATAAATAGCCGATTATTATTATATGAATATATTTAGTTTTTCATATGTTGAACAGGAGTTCCTACAGTTTATCTCTTAGTGTCTCCCCTAAAACAAAACAGAAAAAAGTAGAGAAATAATAATAATAATAATAATAGACAATCAACAATCCGCTCACACCTTTTTCACTGAGGACATTTTCTCTCCAGGTGAATAACTTCCAAGCCGTCCTGATGACTGACGGCCAGTTTTCCTTTGTCAAATTCATATATCCGGACATAAACTGGTTTTACGAAGGTGAGTGTGGGACGAGAATTCACATCAAAGCTATAGGTTAACTGTTCTTTGATGAAAAATATTGCAACTTTCAAGTACCTAGTAGAAGTTGTAAAGTGCACACAGTGATAAAATGTCTTATTTCTGTTCAAAGTTGGTCTAACTCTAATATCTGAAATGAGAAGAGCCGTGCAAAAAGACCGAAATCACCATTGTTAAAAAAGTGTAATAGTTATTCAAAGTTGCAGTATTACCATAAAGAATAGCCTAGTAAGTATTTCCACTCCAATATCTTTTTCATGTGACAACATTTTCCATTGTTATATATGATCCGTTCGTTGAAGACCCATTTTCCTTACAGAATTCTCCAAGGCTGATTTTTGCTAAAGCTGCGCGTTTCGCGCCATTTTTCCTAATGCTCTTTACGGCGTCCCGGATGTTATTTCCTCGTATTTGGCCATATATTCATGCAGAATCTAAAGTTATGTCGAGTATTACAAGGCTTTGTGTTTTTGTTACAGTCAAACGCTGAGCACTCTTAGTAAGATAAGACAGTTTTTGCTTGACCCATTCATGAAAGACTTCTCATTCTTACAGATTACACCAAGGCCATCTTTGAAAAATTTGTGTCCTCCTCCATACGGTACGGGATGCCAGTGGCGGGATATAGCGCCGGGGACGGAAGTGATTACCGCCAGAACACCTACTACAATATGCCAGCTTCCGGGAAAAGTGTCATGGCGGACTTGGACACTAATAAGGGAAATACTGGTACAAATCTTTCTCTCTCTCTTTGCTACATTACTTGAGCGAAAACTGTATAAACTGAATTAAGAAAGACAAAAAATGGAGTTCTTTCATTAATTCGGTCAGTCAATTCAATAAATGACAGCACGTCATCAGTTTCAGTTGAGTAAAGGGTAACTCCACCCCACGCGGATTCTCACACGTTTTCTTACCTCGTGTGACGTCACGTGATATCGACTGTCTCATTTAACGTTCTCTCGCGGGAGAGTCCCATATACAGAAGCCGTGAAGTGGAACCAATTATTGAGAAATATTTTCCTTTAGGTGAGGCAGGCACCTGGCTGATTCGCCTGGAGGAAAACAGTGGCGAGGGAACCGCCATTTTGCAGTGTTATCGGTGGACGAAGAAAGAGTCTAGACGTTACTTCCGGAAACTCAGTAGGGCTAACTTGCGTCCGTGCCCATGCAATATCAGGCAGGCTTGGTGGGACCGACGGTGAGAACAGAAACCATAGGTGGCTCCCTCTTTTGATGAGAAATGAAACAAGACGAGCTGCTTATGATCTATAAAACATAAATTATCGGAAAATGAATGAAATACTGGAACAAAACTAAACAATTGCATCTGGTCTCAACAGTTTGTTACAGTGATAGAACGGTTATGGGTTATTTCAGGGTTGTATTTTCTCTATTTTAACAAGTTTAACTGCATTTTTTGCCCCTATTTAAAAGATTCCTTGACACTAAGTAGGGTTTCTTGTGCACGCCATATTCCTGTCCACTTTTAATTATATTGTAAGGTGTATGATATTTTCACCATTTGTCAATTGATGATTCTGTCCTCAGGTTTCGTTTCAACTGGTGGAACAGTCAGGACTATAACGGTAATCGAATATGCTACCGATCGACTTTCCGGAGAAGAAATTTGAGACGGAGGTGCTGTTACTCAACTGACTGGTTGTTTTCAAATGACTGGGGCGCTCTCCTGGTTGGTAGTCCAAATGGAGGGCACGTGGTGGATGAAACAGTGAGTATATGTGATTGTGATGTAAGCCCCAGCGGGTGATTTCTCATCACCGTTGTTATAAAGTGTATACCGGTATTTATTTTCAGTGATGTAGGCCACTGGACTGTATAGCGTGAAAAATCATTTTGTCAGAAAATAACCAGTTAATATGAAACTAGTAAAAAGTTTTTATTTAAAGAAACATATAAGATTTGTACGACATCAGCCACTTTTTGATCTCATCTATTTTCATTGTTTCCGGAACATTTTATGCATTGGGTAAACTTTTTTCACTTCTTCCAGAACACAGCTTCAGAGGAATACGGGTATCAGAAATGCTGCGTGGAGAGCACCTTTATGTGCCAACTTTTCTACGTTCTTCTACCATCCAACGACTGCGAGGGATACAGGCCGCCACGACGAAGTAAGTGTCTTGCTGATATTAAATCATGCATACGGTAAAGCGGTCGAATTTCAAATTTAATCCCACCATCCTATCTATCAATGTCAAAATGTAAAGTTCCTCTCCCTTCCTCCATCCCCGCCACCTCCCAAGCTTGATAAAACTCCAGCCATTCTAATCCCCTTTAGGTCATTGCTCGTCATGTTAATGTGCTGAAATTTTCAGACCCACCTGCGTCGAGGTTAAATTTTTCCGCACGTAAACTTCATGTTGGGGCAGAGGCAAACCTTATAAAACTGAAAGGACTATTATTAAAAGATGCATCAATTCTTTGCGCCAATACGCGTTCGTGACGTCCCAATTTCCTTTTAATCATGACGTCATATCTTTGCAGGGATATTCTGGGGAGACCCTCACCTCGTTACTTTGGACGGTCTGAACTACACCTTTAACGGCCTGGGAGAGTTTACATTACTGGAACTCGATAGCGGAGAGATGCAAGTACAGGCACGGACGAGAAGGGTTTCGGGTAAACAGTTTATTTATGTACAAGTAAGCCTGGTCAGTCAACAATGCGAATTACGCATTTTAATGTTGAACGGTGAACCCTTCAATATTTAATATGTATATTACATACGCCCATTTTTCAGAAACCTCAACTGCTACTATCTTCTCTGGAGTTGCGATGCAAGTGGTCAACCAGACTGTTATTCAGGTCAACTTAGTGAACGGGACAGAGGACGAACTGGAGGTTTTCATTAACTGTTCTATGATTGATATTGGAAACTTCACCAACGACACCAGCACACATTCCTCGCTGCCTGATACCGTGCTTCTCTCACGCCCAGAGAATAATTCGTTCCAAGTGACGTATGAAAACGGAATAACCGTATCTGCGAAAGCTGTTAAGGTAACAGTTAAAGCTCTGAAAATTATGATTGAAATTCGATTCCTTTGCAACAAGAATTTTTTTCTTTTGGGTAACTTGGAATTTTAGTTACTATTCCAAAGAACAAATATCGTGCAAGTGTGGGTTTGGCCAAAAGACGTTGATAATAAACATAAGTTAGCAATATTCATAGCTCAGGTCATTTTTTAGTTTTTATTACGTCCGTTTGCTCTCAATTAAATCCATTTTTCAATATTTTTTTTTTCACACAAAAAATGGAAATCCAATATGATAGATTCAAATACATCAAATAAATTGTACAGGGGTTCATTAGTTACCGTTACCGTTCTGACTTCTTCATGTCGTAAATTCATTTTCTTTTAGGGTGCATTATCCATAAACTTTGACGTCCCTGAAACATTTGAAAATCTCACCAAGGGCCTGATGGGCGTGTTTAACAGCGACAAAAGTGATGACCTCACGCCTAGCAACGGTGCACCAATACCTGAGACGTCATCAGAAGGTGATATATACCACCAGTTTGGAATGACATGTAAGTAGTTTTGGACTGAAGGATAGCTAAAGGAACAAGTTGTTTCTATATGTAGGCTTTCATCATGAAAACTAATAATAAGGTTAAGTTTGTTTTTTGTTTATAGGCAAAAAAGACGGTACCCCACAAAATAAAGTGAGATTTGTAATATCATTTTTGAGCGTTATTAAAATACGTAAATGTTTCTTGGTCAGAACAGTCGTATCTATTTGAAAAACAAGTTGGTCAAAAGTCGACAGTAGGCCATACAATTTCCAAACAAAATTATTATCTCCTTCAGATACACGGTTCAGTTTGGTGACAATGAAGACAATGCGATCACAATGCTCTCTCAAAATTATTTAAAATTTGTTAATTTGTTTATGTCATTTTCCTTAGGGATGGTTACGAACGAAACGACCATATTCTGCTACCAGGCTGGCGAGAGCTACGAGATCTACAACTTTCCTGACTTTACACCCATGTTCACTGACAACATAACGTTCGCTAATGCTACTCTCCAAGCGGCAGCTGAAGCCCTCTGTGGATCTGATATGTCATGCCTCTTTGATATAGCCCAAACCGGAGACCTCAGTTTTGGTGCAGTAACTCTCAGCGAGAAAATTGCCAGTGAAAAAGCTTCGTCCGAATTAGGTGAGATTACATAATTTTATTACGTCAAATTAGGCTAAATTAGTCTACAAACGTGTGAATCGTTAACATTTAACTATTAAAGCTATGATTAAAGTATCCATTGAAGCCTGACTGTAATTAAAGTAGCATTTAATCATTTTCACAAGTTCAAAAATGTACCTCTTCGAACGAATTTTCCACCCCAAATTTCATATATTCTCTCTCCAAGTTCGGTCTACGCAAAGTTTCCTTGAAAAATAGCTTCTAATATTGATAATTAAAAAAAAAAGATAAAATAAACAGTTTTTGTCTTTTTCACATAGACAATTTCCCGCCAAAAATCACCGGGCCAAGATCGCACAAGGTCCAGCGTGGTGTATTCACCACCATAACAACCAACGTGTCAGACGCAAATGGTGACACAATCACATGCCAGCTCGAGACAAATGGTTCTACTTCTGCCAACCTATCGCAAGTTTCTGGCGACGAATTTAACGTTGGCATTCTCATCAGCTCTTACTCCGAGGAGTTAAATTTAAAGTTGATAGCAAAGGTACAGTGGGTGTTGTGGTCCGTGTATGAGAGGGCAAATTAATTTCTTTTTCACTAGAATATTTCAAATTTGTGTTTTTTTTTAACGCTTACAGAAAGATGCACGTAACTATTCTTGGAACACGTAGTGTGTTTGATTATTCAAAGAACACTATTCAAAAAGCGATACATAATAAAAAATAACAAAAGATAACTTGCAAACAAATTAACGAATCTTATACATTCATGCATGTATAATAGCTGAAGTTATATCAAAACCTTCTGTTTGCTCCATATTGTTTTAACTATTTGCAAGAATACTGTACATCTATTTCCCGTAGGACCCAAATGACGCCAGAAGCACTTACCAGCCAGTGATAGAATACTGTCCTTGTGAAAATGGTGGCACTTGCGCATCACTCACAGCTACCGAACTGGAAGAAGCGTCTTCATAGTAAGTTTATTCAACAAAATTGTCACTTTGAGAACCATCTATGCAAAACTGAGTTCAGACTATTTCCCAAAAACTTACACACATGTTTACTAACGGGAGTAGTATGTTATGCACCGTTCGACCAACTTTTTCTGAAAATTTCAATGCAATTATATGGTACAAAAAAGAGGTACAGAATGAGGTGAGAGCAGCCTCGCTCTCAAGTTGACCTAGTTGGCTGCATCGCGTCTCTATGGCCTTATCAAAGTAGGGCATTTGCAAGCGCGAGACTTAAGGATTATCAAATATTTGACAAGCACTGTATATCAATTAAGGCCTGGGAAAACAATAACCGGGTTATCAAAGGTTGATATTGTGACGTAAGCAACACAAACTTTTAACTCGAGCCTTTAGTGATTTTCAGGAATATTCTGCTATTTTAAGCTACCCACTAACACAGTAAACGCAGCAGCAACTTTTACGAATATTTTATTTGAAGAATATTTATTGAAAACAAAGTAAAATTCGCAGCAACAATTATTTATTTGATGACACTAGATATCCAAGGGTTCAGTAGACACTCCGTCGTTTAACACTTTTCTTTTACAGTAGAAATAACTAAAGGCGTCTCTTTTTTGTACGTAAGAATACATAGTGTTGTCAAATAAACGCATCCCTCTATTGACACCGCTGCCACTCTCTTTGTTTAATAGTACATCTAAGTATTTGTGTTCGTTGATATTGTTACATTTCCTATTGATCCCTTTGCAGCTAAATTTTGGTTTGGTGCCTTCCCCAAAACAATAGTATGTCTTACTACATAAACCAACGATTCCGTCACCGACCCACTCGGCTTTGAACAACCCGGGCGTCCGTTTGTCATAGGCCTCGTGCTCTGGGGTATCAGTGCGCGGAAACCACAGGTGTTTCTCGGCTCTGTACTGTGCTCTCATGTGTGGTTTTACTACGTCTTCTAAGCTGTCCGCCGAGAAGGCAATGTAAGCGGAATCCGTGTCCATTTCACAGTATTGAAAATCGGACGGATCCACGAATTTTAGCATGAAGTCGTAGTAAAACTCTAGCATGCGTAGCTTGGCGTACTGATACACCATCACGCCTATATGTAGAGGAAGGTCGAATTTGATGATTTTTTTGTTTAATTCAACCTCATACACATCTTCTGTAATTTGATCTAAACGTCGAAAACGGTGACTGTTGACTTTTTGGGAAGCTTTTGCCCCGCCACAATACTTGGTGTCGCGGTGCCTTTCTTTGTTGGTCACTGTTTTTCCGTAGCCCGAGTTACCAATGAGCTTCATGGTGTCAGCGACGATAGCTTTTGTCTTGTCCCTGTCGCCCTCTCTACGAGCGTCACTGACGGCGTTTCCGAAAAGCTTAAACAGGCCTTTGGGGTGTATTCGATTACTTGATGGATACGCGTCACGCGAAGACCGTGTTCTAAGTACCATTTTATCAGCGGGGTTGCCAAAACGATTTTTTCGCCGAAAAAACTCCCAACCAACGAACGTCTCGGGTTGCTCATTATTTTATTTTCCTCCGCGAAATTTTTCATGTACGACCCGATGTCGTCTCGGGTAATCGTAGTGTTTTTAAAGATGGGTGGCATTTCGGAGAATTTTGATCTTATTTCGAGTGGAACTTCTATATCGCACTCAACGAATCCAAACAGATTGTCGTTGAGAATTGCATCTAGGATCTCGTTGAACGTGAGCAGATACCTGTGTTCGGTGGGGAGCGTGTACTTCTTCACGAACTGCCTTACTTCTTCACTTTCAAGTTGCAGTTTTTTCCATTCACACTCCCACATTTCGACAAGATTGTAGCCGCTATCCCGAATGTACTCGCTATTAATTTCAGTTTCGATTCTCAAAGATTCCATGGTCACCTTTTTTGTGTCGTTTATTTCTTTATAAGTGCCATCTTTGTTTTGGTTAAGATGGCACCGATGACCATGGAAATAACAGCCTTGGTACTGATACACGGTCTGCGTCTCTCGGCAAAATCCATCCACCGGTAGCCGACGGCACCCGATGCGCTTTTCCGTGCCGTTGAACTGATGCCTAATGTGTATATTGTTTGAACGGGCAACCCAGTCTAACCACTTCGTGGCCTCGCGACCCCGTGGATGAGAATATTCGAGTGTATATTTAGACTCCTCTCGCCTGCGGATAAAAGTGCCCGTAGGCATGGGTTGCATCAAACACCACAGATACAGGGCATTGGCGTCGTACCCGACGATCTTTTTGCACAGCTTGGGCACTTCAGAGGTGGCCTTTCGAAGAAAGGTCTTATTCCTCTCGTGGTAGCGATGAAAGATGATGCTGGGACTGCCTACGATAGCATTTTTTAGAAGGTAGTAAAGATCGCTGTGCTTATCATCGAAAAGGGTAAAGAATGCATCTCCTACATTTTGAAAGAGGTATTTCAAAGTTAAACCCGGCACACTGATGCCGTCTTTAAACATGTCGATACCTCTTTCTTCGTAAAAAGCGAACATTTTTGCCACCGCTTCCAGCATCGGTTCAACGTCTTTGTTGTTGTACCACTCGAGGAAATCGCGCATTGTCTGCATACCGTTTTCTACCCACACGCGTTGGCACTCCGCGTAATCTTCCTCTGTGATATTACTTTGTTTTAATTTGGAGTAAAACGCTTCGCGAGAAGGGAGGTGAGGGCATTCCAGTTTGTCCAAAGAGTCCATCCACTCATAGGGAAAGAACCCCTTGGACTCCGTGCACTCAAACGCCTTAAGGAACTGACCATAGCTGCATCCGGGAGCTAAATAGTTACAAATGTCTAAAAGTTTTAGGCGTTCCGATTTCAACACCATGTAGTTGTTGTTGCGTTTTACCACAAATTTCAAGGTGTTCACCAACAACGGAAAAAACAACGTTTTCATGGCGTTGAGATCGTAATGCCCGCTATTGAAACCTAAGACGGGCAATTCCATTAAATAATTACTAAATCTACGGCTAAGTTTGGTTAGATAATGCTTTTTGGTTAAGGCTTCACCATCTTCGCCTTCGTCTTCGCTTTCCTGTATAATTTTGTTGATGTCTTTTTCTATTTTTTCATCAAGTTTTTCAAAGACCCAGGCAAACTTGTCCTTTAGAAGCTTTTCGGCTGCGTGGCTCATGTTTTGTAAGGTGTTGACAAACAATTGCACAGCTATCCTCGGCTCGCCATCAGAAATAATGCATTTTGGCTCGGAGTACCCGGGGACGTTGCTGCACACGCTGACGCTAAGAAACTGATGTTCACGCTCCAGCTGCAGTTTTTCACTTTTTTCAGGCTCTTCGGTATGTTGCAGCAAACATTCAATATCGAACGTCGCCCGATACGGGTAATACCTGTCTTTTTCGGGGACGCATATGCCCTCTTCTTCCAATTCTTCGAAAACGGTTTGCGGAGGAGTGTATGCTTTGCCAGGAAAACGGTGCTCGACGAGGACGTCGCAGGTCCGTTCGTGGCGTTGGAGCATGCCTTTGTGCTTAAACATTTTGCTGCATCTCGAACAGCAAAATGACTGAGTGTATTTGTTCACGTCCCGTATGTATGAAAAATGATTTTCGTGCACGTTCAGCGACATGGTGTCGTTGTACTTGTCAGTCGAACGACGAACGAGTTCTGCAAACACATCACCCTCTTCGTTTTGCTGTAATTCGAAAACGGCAATGTTTACCTCGAAGAGGTCTTCCACCTTGTGTAGTCGATGGAGCGCCACGCCTTGGAAACCTTTGCGTTTTCGTTTGCCTGTGGTATATTCTTTGAAGAGTCTCTTCGTCGGTTTTTCGAGAGCTGTAAGGGACGAACCTCTGTGCAAGGCGAGGCATCGAAAGAGGCAAAGATTGTCGCGGTATGGTTTTCCATTTGTGTTTTTTTGCAGGGCAACGAGACCCCTGTTGTGTAGCACATAAGACGGCAGGTCGACCCCGCAACCAATGGGGTGGCCCTTAAGCTTCGTCACGTAAAACGTGGCATTGGTTACCCTGTCTACCACCCACTTCGAATTTGGCCGCTCCTGTCGAGCACATTCTAAAATATCTCTTGTGGTCATGCTGTGGAAAAAACCATCGAGATCTTGGCGGTGGCGGATCACAGCGGGCGCTTCTAAGAAGCAATGGTTGTTGCTGCTGGGGTGGTAGTACCTCAGCTGCCCAGTCTCGTTGTTTCGGAGAAAAAAACCGTACGACACGTTGATCTTAAACGCCGTGCGTTGGTCTTCCAAAATCTGCTCCAGGACGTTTCGAAGGGCGTCGGGTTGAAGGGTGGTCAATCTGACATTGTACCAGTCTTGCAGTTTGTTACCCCTTGAGGATCTGGTCCGTATGCTGTTCCAGTGAATTTCGTACGCTTCAGCGACTGATGGGTCGACGTCCGAGGGTAGAAGATCGTCAGGCATGACGACGTGGTCAGATGAAAAGGCAGCTCCTGATCCCGTTTGGGTCTTAGGGACTTTGGCGGCGGTTGCATATTGGTTAGAAGACTTGGGCGTCGAGCGTTTTTTGTTCGAACTCACCGAGGTCCCCGGATCTCGCGTTTGGTGGAGGCGTCTATGCCTATTCATGTTATCCCGACGAGTAAAGGTCTTTCCGCATTCGGGGCACGCCACCTCTTTTTTCGTCGTGTGGCTGAGCCGATGGTGTTTTAGGTCACGGGCCCCATTAAAAGACGCACCACAAACATTGCAGCATACGGCATTTCAATGACCGTGGGGGTGGCATCACCCAGCGCGTAGCTGATCTTAATCGGGGATCCGGAACCATCTGAAGACAAGTTGTAGCCATCGCAGAAAGAAATTGTTGAAACTTGCTCTTTCAGCAAGGCCTCTTCAAGTTCTGCCGCGTGTATTTTGAACTGGCCCCATACGATCGAGCTAAATCGTATTTTGCATTTTGCCTTGTCCGTCAACACCACCAGTAACTCGCCATGTCGGTTATGGCAGACTGTTGCGCAAAATGATGCACCGAAGGGTAGAAATGTGGCCATGGCTTTAGGAT